ACCAAATGCGATTAAAATAATAATAAAAAAAAAAAACGGCAGTAAGATAATATCTGACAGTGATTAAAACACTTCCACAAAAAAAGCTTTGAAGAATATCTGTAGATAATGTTGAATTTTAAGAAATAGGTGGATTATACCAAAAGCAAAATGAATTCCTATTACCTTCATTATTCCTGATTAGTAATTGTTTGATTTATAAGTATAAGAGAATTTATAAAAAATTTTCACCGTGAAGACAAAATAAAGGCCGAAATTTTTTTTTCCATAATAAAGTACATTACATTAGCTTTAATTTAAGATATATATAAAAGTGTCAGACTTTCCGGAACACTCAAAAGTTAAGTTGAAAAAGTAAATTTTTGTGAAAAAGTTGTCCTTTTAAATCTTCCCTGTAGGCAGGTAAAGAATCAGATTTATAAAAAAAATATACCAAATGATAGTTAAAGACATCATGCATTTATAAAAACAAAAATTATATTCATTTGTTCATTTTTGAAAAAGTTATGGTAGTTTTAAGTAAAAAAATTTTCGAAAATTTCGAAAATTGGCGATTTTTAAATTTGTTATTTTTTTGGAAATTTCCAACGATCTTTTGACGTATCGTTGAAAGAAATCAGTTCAGTGTGAGCTAAGAAAAAGTGGTAACAGACACAAAAAAAAAAATAAAACAAAAAACATATCATAGTAAAATTAATACCTTCTCAGCTTCGCATCGAAGCTAATACATTTAATTTTCTACATTTTTAGGTGCTATTCTTCAATTAAGTAACTGATGTATTAAGTAAAATGATCCCTAGGCCCACAGTTTCGGCTTTAATTCTATAAAAATTTACTTAAACAAGGTAGGATAAGTATAGAAAAATGATATTACCCGCCATTAAAAAATACAAAATAAAATCCGAAATTTTTTTTTTCACGTTTTTCAAAGTATCTCACGTTAGTTTTCATTTAATATATATATAATAGTGTCAGACTTTCCGGAATACTTTCAAAAGTTATGTTTAAAAAGTTCTACTTTCTGTATTCATTTTAGTTTCAATGCGAAGCTATTTTACTATTTTTTTTTCTATTTTTTTATAGCCTTTATTAAAATAATATTTAGCTCAACAATTACAAAATATTAACCCATTTAAGCTCAGTGACCTATATGTAGAACACTGGTTTATAGGCAAATTTGTTTTGTACATCACACCTTATTTTCCCACTGTCCTTCATATAGGACACCTATTATCAAGCAAATTATGGGTAAAAAAAATTTTTTTTTGGTTTCCCAAAAACAAAAATAGTAGAAATAATTATAAAAAAAGTAAATTTAAACAAAATTTTAACCTTGGGCATGAATTAAAATAAATAAATTAGAAGTATAACAATAACAGTGCTACATTATAATGGTATAATAAATATGACAATAATTGTTAGTATACTAAAAAATAAAGAAAAAATTAAATATTATTAAAATTATTGTTAATAGATATTTAAAAGTACAAACTAAAAGAATTACTAAATTAAAATTTTATTTGAAATAATGGAGGAAGAGATAAAATAAATAAATAAGTATATAGAAAAATATAAATAAAATAATGAGAGATTAAATGACAAAGCCGGAACTCCTCAAGAAAGATATGATTGAAATAATAATAAAAGAAGAACGGGAATTAAGAGTGTTAGCTACGGAAGAGGGATTAATATTGTGGGGGCTAAGAGGCTGAATAGTTTATTTCTGCTATTAATTAGGACAGGACAACCAAAGAGAAGATGAGAAAAATCGCATAGAGCTTCACTATCATGTAGGGGACGACAGAAGGGAACGGAATTTAAGGAAAGTTGAAATGCATGGTAAGGCAGAAAATTATGACCTAACCTGAGTCTTGAATACTGAGAAATGATATTTCTGGATAAGTCAAGGTTATGAAACCATTGAGAATGAATAATAGAAGGAGAAATTCAGCGGTACCAACATACCGTTTTCAATTTTATTGTAGCCCAACTGTCCTGCCAGGCTTGTAGAACTGTCTGTCGAAAAAGGCGGAGAAAGTCAGAAGCGGGAATGTTATGACTATAAGAATTAAAAAAGGGGGAAGTAGACGTAGCAAGACGGTCAGATGTTTCGTTACCTAATATACTGGCGTGGCCCGGCACCCAGTGAAAATCAATAGATTTATTTTGCGATCGAATTAAGGAGAAAGATGAGAGCAAAATGGGATTAGAAGTGAAGGCAAGTAGGCAAGATAGAGAATCAGAAAAAATAGCAAATTCCTTAATTGAAGTAGAAGATATAAAAATGAGAGCATTAACGATGGCATGGCATTCAGTGGTAAAAGAAGAAGAAGAAGGGTGGAGTGCAGCTGAGTATGAAATATTAAGTTCAGGAATAAAGAAAGAACAACCAGCCGAGTTATTTGATACAGAACCATCTGTGAATATCAAGCATTTAGTCGGAAAATTGGCTGAGATATAATCTTTGAAGAGATTATTAACGGAAGTTGCAGGAAGAGAACGAAGGATTCAAGGAAGGAAGCCTTGGAAACACGTTGATGTATACATTATGGGAGCTAGTGTAAGGGCTACTAGAGGACAGTAAAATAAAAAACTATAAAGTAAATGTTACTTTTATGGCAAACGTGTATAAAATTAATAAAGGGCTTAATTAGCAATAATAAATGATCTACAAGAAATTTTTATCAAAGTCAAAAATATACTTTTCTTGAATAGTATTTTGCACTGATTTCAAATTTGCAATGATATTTTTTCGTTTACAACTAATTTTTGATATTATTAATAATTGGTTAAAAACGAGTATTTAATTGATGACATATATTTATTTATTTATTTCAATATTTATTTATTTTATAACTAGGCTCCGCCTAGCTGGGGCTCCGCCCCAGACCCGGGGCCCTTCGAGCCTTACGCGCCTTCGGCGCGTAAGCCTCTTCGGGCCGTCATCATAAGTAGGCCACTGATTCCGGTAGAAGTACCCGGCTACGCCGGGCACGATAAGTGTTTTTCAAAAAAAATATTACTTCAGAATCAGTGAAAACTATAGAAAACTATATCTAAAAATGTTATTAGTAAATCAGGAAAATTCAAAAGAGAATATAGTAAAATGTATTGGGTATAAGGTTGAAGCCTATTAATGAGGTATTCCCTTTAGGCCTATTCAAAAATTATTTTAGGAGGAAATTTAATATTTTTTACTTTGTTAAACATGTTATAGAAATTTTTTTGCTAAAATTAAAGTAATGATGAAAAAAAAGGACATTAGGTCCTTATATATTAGAAGTTGCCTAAAAAAATATTGATAGCACTTGTCCAAGGAGGGGCCAATCTCTCTTAAATACACCCCTGTTATACACAAAAATTATTGATAATCTAATTATAATAATTGTGTTTATATTATAGAATAATTAAAAAAAAATTTAGCAGGTTATTATAAGTAGCACATTGTAAATTTAAATTAAAATTAATAATAAAAATAAAAATAAAAATTTAATTTTGATAAATATATTGGTAACTGCGATTAAACGATGAACATCATAGTTATCATAGATGAATCCCCATTCAAAAGATAAACACATAGTCTCATACATCATACATGAGAAAAAAGAAAATTATNATCTCAGGAATGTCATTGGGCGGGTCTGATGAAAATTTCAATCCTTAAGTCGTAAAACGCTGGCGTCAGCGAGCGTTTTTCTCGAAAACGGTCGAAATTTTAAAACGCTCGCGGGCGAGCGGCAAAAATTTTCCGACCTTCGCCAATAATTTTCCCGGAGTCTGGTGACCGAGTACTTTCGTCGAAAAAAAAAATTTTGAAAATCCGAGCACGCTAAGTAATTTTCCCAGAAAAGCGTTTTTTTCCTTGTTCTATTATATAATAAGATATACAAGACACAACATAATCAAACAGAAAAAAAAACAAATAAATATTGAGTACGCCACAGACGGCAATGAGTACAGAATATAAATACAAAATATCTAAATAATTAAATAAGTACAGCATACATAGAAGTTTAAATTATTAACATACAAAATTAATAATTAAAATACATATTTTAATTAAATATATTAAATATATTAATATATGCCTATAAAAATTACTCAAAACTTTTAAGACACTGTGAGTATAAATTGAAATTTGACAGTAATATATAACACTATCATACTCGGATAATGGTAATGGGGATACCTTTACTAGACATTAGTTCAGGTTATTACGGAGGGTTAAAAAGAGGGTGGACGAAAAAATTGTTCAGACAACTAGAATTAACCATTAACGAGACACGAACGATTTTATGAAAAATTTTCTAAAATTAACGTTCAAGGTTACGTCGATGTGCAAAGGCGCCGGCAGCGAACGTCAAGATGGTTTGGAAAATAAGTTAGAGTACCGGTGTGGACACTCCCCGCCATCCCATCAATGTACATATTCAACGGAGGCTTTCAAACTCTAACGTAAGTTGACGTATGATTTCATTTCCCCTCACCACTACTTTTACTTTCATTTACGACCTCTAGCATCCTCTGGTAGTAGATATTTGAACTATGAGCCAGTTTTCCCCTTTTTACCCTACTCATATTAACTTCAACATTTAAGATACCATCTAGAAACTTTGCTGGTTTGCTTTTTACACTTATATCAATTGATGATATTTATTACATTTTTAATTATTAAACATTATAGATTTTTGTGATGAAAATTGTAAGCAAAGGAAAGTTTGTTAAGTGTTAAATAATTTTACATTAAAAGACATGATTATGAAATTAATAGCAAAAGTCAGATATTTCTCTGTTAAGTTTACAAAAAATTTATTTATTTAAATATTATCATGCCGTTTTTTTTAAATTGACTAGACTTTGGAAACGGATGACCAAAAAAAATGTTTTATAACATTTTGATGTCTACTGAGACAGCAAAAAACTTTACATAAAATTAAAAGGCTATACCAATCCCGTATTTTGAATTATGAAAAAATAAAAAATAATATAATTAATTCTACCTCAGTGAATACACCAGATGCTGTTGTACCAGATAAACACGGTACAACTACGATGGGTTTTGGCCAACTTGCGGCAGCTAGAGATGACATCTGTAATTTAAAAAAATTGAAAAATCAAAATTATAAACATCTCATTTATAAAAATTTGCTTAAACCACATTCTCTACATAGACAATTAAAATCATTCATTTCTGATGTTTTTAAAGTATTTATTGACAAATTAGGTTTGATATGATAAGGTTTTAATTTCAAAATTAAATAATTTTACTTTGTTATATACGCACAATTGAGTAGATTTTTCCCACAACTTTTTGTATGTTTTTTTAATTTCGATGTGAAATTAAAAAGTTATTGATCCTGTGATGCTGCGTATTTTTTTATATCTGTCCATAGAAATTCTCAGCTTTCACTGGACCAATTATCATGGTTAATACGTCAAAATAACACGATTTTAATTTATTTGAATTTATAGACACCAAATATTGAAAAACACCCTAATTTTAGAAATTTCGACAAATATCACAAAATTATAACATTATACAAAATTTTTTAATTAAATATCTCCATAAAGAATATAAGTATAAAATTCGTTTTTATACTGAATTGCACAGTAAAATCATATCATTAAAATGAAATTTTTTTTTAAGGATCATTTTTTACTCTAATTTCTGATCTGAAATTGAATATATTCCACTATCTCTTTTTTGACATTTTTACTAATTAGAAAACGAGTGTTTATATAAANATACTATAAAATGAAAAAAAAAATTTGTTCCGACACCTTATCTTCTATATGCAAATGGCTTTCAAAAAAAAAAAACCCAGCACAGTGGGGTCGTGGCATAGTTGGGTCCAGTATAGATGATATCTGACAGTGATTAAAATGACTATCATAAAAAACGCTTCGATGCAAATCTGTAGATAGTGTTTCATTTAGAGAAATTGGTTGATTATTCCAAAAGAAACATCAACTCGTATTTCTTTAATAATATCCTGATTAGTAGTTTTTGATTTTAAAATATAATATATGAATAAATACTAATTATAGTTTTTAAATTTAGTATGAAATTGTGAGGTCAGCTATGATGTATGGTTCATAGTGTTGGGCGGTTGATAAGAAAGTAGAACAGAGAATAAGTGTAGCAGAGATGAGAATGCTTAGTTGGATGAGTGGAGAGACTAGAGAAGATAGGNGTTGGATGAGTGGAGTGACTAGAGAAGATAGGATAAGGAACGAGCATATAAGAGGAAGTATAGGTGTTGCGTCAATCGTGGATAAGATGACAGAAAATAGACTTAGATTGTTTAGTCATGTTATGAGGAGAGAAGAATCGGAAGATGTAAGAACAGTTATAGAAATAAATGTTGAAGGAAGAAGAGGTAGAGGAAGACTNTTGAAGGAAGAAGAGATAGAGGAAGACCAAAAAAGAGATGGAGGGATGCTATTGAATGCGATTTGAGGACAGCTGATGTGAGGGTAGAAGATGTGGGAGATCGTGTCAAGTGGAAGCTTAGGATAAGGGTGGCCGACCCCAAGTAGTTGGGAATAAGGCAAAGAAAAAGAAAAAGATTAGCAGAAATTCCGGTGGCAATTGACATAATATAATTATTGTTTGAGAATGTACAATTTAGCGTTTAGTTCGGTTTAAACAATATAGCGTCAAATCAATTNTTGGGTTTAAATAATATAGCGTCAAATCAATTACCTACTCTATCGGTTGTATCTTAATATACACTACACTTTAATGGTACTATAAATAAATAAAATCACACATACACACATATGCATTTATAACATTGTGTCTAATGTAAGTATAACATGATAAAAAGTAACCATAAAATGAAAAAAAATGGAATATAAATTTTAGTACTCATATTAAATGTAATGTAATTCGAAAAATATTTGTTTAAATAAAAAAATATAAGATAATTTTTTTGTTTATAATTTTCTTTTAAACAACTCTTGTACGAATCTTTTTTTGTAAGTTAAATATTTTTTGAGAAAATTAAAAAAGCTCATATTTTTGAACTTTTGCGAGGCTGTAAAAAGAAAAGCTCAATTCCAATCAATGAGGACTATTAGTATGTCATTATACATATTTTAATTCAACTTTTAAAAACACAAAATTTGGTTGGGAATTTTTTCCGCAATTTTTCCTTTGTTGACTAGCCTATATGTCAATTTTAAACTTGTAATTAAATTAAAAGTTACGGTAATATATTCAATTTTTTTTACTATAAACTTTCATAAATCTTTATCAAAAATTTTTCATCATCTTTAAAGAACCAAAAAAATAGGTTAAAATTGAAAATTTGGACTGATTATTTTTAACATATTAAAAATCAAATCAGTAATAATTTGAAAACAAATTTTTTTTTCTTTTAATTATTATTTTATATATATAATTAGTAATAATATAAAAAATTAGAAGTGATAGAAATAGTCTACTTGCAGATTTGAAAACAACGCGAAAAGTTGATTTAGAAAAGTATATTTTTGCTTCTGATGAAAGTTCCTTGTAGTCCAGTGCATTTTTTTATAGTAACAAACAGTTTTTATTGAAAATTATTGTATCAAGCCCTTTAAATTTTTATACACGTAAAAGTAAAGCAAAATATAACTTCTTTATTATTTTTATAATTTCTCCGTTTAAATTACAATATTAAATATCAATTTCATACTAAATTTAATAATTATAATTAGTATATATTCATATATTATATTTTAAAATCAAAGAACTACTAATCATGATATAATTAAAGAAATAAGAGTTGATGTTGCTTTTGGAATAATCCACCAATTGCCTAATTAAAACAAAAAAAAAAAAAGTTTGTTGGGAATTTTTTCTGCTATTCTTCAAAATTACTCCTTCGTTGACTAGAATGAATCATTAAATAGAAAATTTTATGAGAATTAAAACAATGTTATTTTTAAGATTAATATGCAGTCAGGAAATTTTATAATTACTATATATTTATTACGGTATATTTATCAGAAAAACTCATTATTTTTTGCATTTTCATCGTAATAGAACACTTAAATAGAAATCATAGTAATCATTTCTAAGTAATTTTTGGAATTTAAAAAGATTCTACAATTGAAATATCCAGAACTGAATTAATTTTAATAATTTACTTTTGAATCCCTCTTATGGGCAGGTAAAGGGTTAGATTTAAAAAAAAAAAAAACCAAATGATAAATAAAGACATGCATCTCTAAATAAAAAAAAATATACTGATTTGGTCACTTTTGATAAAGTTTAACAGGTAACAAAGTTATAAGTTATATACATTGTACTACAAGGAACTTTCATCAGAAACAAAAATATAATATTGTAAATCAACATTTCGCGATGTTTTGAAATGTGCAATCCGACTATTTCTATCACTTTTAAGTTTTAATATTATTAAAAAATAGTATTTACAGATAAAAAAAAATAATTAATAACAAAAAAAATTGTTTTAAATTAATACTGATTTTGATTATTAATATGTTAAAATTAAGGAAAATGACATATTTAACCTATTTTTTGAATCGTTTAAAGTTAATTGTTGTAAATGTTTAAACAAAAATAAATAATTTATTTTACCATAACTTTTAGCTCAATTGGTAAGTTTGACATTGACATAATTAAATAGAAAATTTTATGACAATTAAAAAAATTGTATCGTTAAGATCAATATGCAGTCAGAAAGTTTTATAATTACTATTTATTGTAAATTTATCAGAAAAGCTCAATATTTTTTTTGCATTTTTATAGTAATAGATAACTTAAATAGAAGTAATAGAAATAATTTCCTAGTAACTTTTGTTGTTTATTATAGTCTAGTAGTAGTACACACAAATTCAGTAAAAAATTTATTAAATTACAAAGTAAAAAGATTTAATTTTGTACNTTATTAAATTACAAAATAAAATGATTTAATTTTGTACTTGAAACCTATCATATCAAACTTCATTCGTTAATAAATATTTTGAAAACATTAGAAATTAATGATTTTAATTGTCTTTATGGAGAACATGTAGTAACTAACTGTTTAATTGATAAATTAGAATTTTTTTTTCAATTTTTGAGGGCAATATCTTCAACTAGATACGAATTGTAGTCATTTGACGTATCGTTGAAAAAAGTAGGTCAAGTTAGAGTAGAGAAAATAAATGATAGTCACAAAAAAATATCTTCTCAGCTTTGCATCGAAGCTAAAACATTAGCACAGTGGGGTGGCGGTATAGTGTGAACAAGACATAGTTGGGATAAGTATAGATGATATATGACAGTGATTAAATCACTATTATATGAAACGCTTAAATGCATGATATTATTTTTGTGGTAATCTCGCCTGCTGAAATTTTACTATCATTATTCGAAAAGTATCCTAAATATTAAGTCAGACTATGGCCTAGTCGGAACTCTCCTAGTTTCACCTATGATTTCGTCCTCGGATGTGTTGTTAAATTTCATTTTAATCTAGATATTTTTGGTTATTTTTAAATATTTTAAAACTTAATTAAGTCGTGAATACTTCAATTGTAGAATCTTTTTAACACCAAGAGTTACATAAAAATGATTACAATGATTTATTAGGAAAAAAAAATAGTGATTTTAACCAAATTTTGTTCTTCTTCTTTTTGCATTCGACCATTAAGATCATACATTCAAACATATATCTTGCCATTTCACTCTATCCATCGCTAGTAAATTCCATTCGGCACTTGGGTCTATCATTTGTACATCCTTCCTGACTTGGTCTTCCCATCTTAGTCGGGGTTGTCCCAAGGGTCTCTTTCCTTGGGGGATCTCACATTGAACCATTCGGATTAAAGTTCCTTCTTTTCTCCATGCATGTCCAGCCCATTGAAGTCCCTATTTTTAATTTCTCTAATTATATCAGGCATTTGGTACAGCAGTTTAAGTTCCTCGTTTTTTCGAATTCTCCATTCCCCGTGGTCTCATCTATACACGGACCGAAGATTCTTCTTAATATTTTTCTTTCGAATATCAGTAATCTGTTTTGATCTGATTTCCGTAATGTCCATACTTCACAACCATACATTACCACTGGACGGATGAGGGTGCGATACAGTTGTATCTTGAGGTTCTTCGATAACGTTCTCGCTTTTAATAATTTACTTAGTCCGTAATAACACTTATTACCGGATTGGAGTCTTGCTTTTATTTCAATATGTTCATCGTTTTTTTGTGTCAATATCGATCCCAGATTGAAACCCAAACCCAACCAGATATTTGAACTCTTGCACTCTCTGAAACTTGTACTGCCCAAATTCCAAAAATGGCTGAACATGATCCGCGAGCTCTCCTCTCTGCACGATCATGTACTCAGTTTTATCAACGTTTATTTCTAAACCTATTTTTTTTGCCATATTTAATAGTTTTCCCGCTTGCTCCCTGAGATTTTCCTTCTTTTCCGCAAGTAATACTATATCGTCTGCGTAGGCCAAAACTCCTATTATGCAACCTCCCAATCGTACTCCGTTATCTTCAATACAGCTCCCCCTGATGACCCTTTCTAACGCTATATTAAATAGTATGGGTGACAGAGCGTCCCCTTGTCTCAAACCAGTCGATACTGGTATCCCTTGTGATACAATATTGCCAACTCTGATCTTGATTTCCGTGTGTAGAATATTTGCTTTGATCAGATTAATTAATTTCTGGGGCAATTTGAACTGTTTTAGTACATTCAATATAGATTCTCTATGTATGCAATCATACGCCTTCTTGAAATCAATAAATAGTACATGTACTTCTCTGTTACACTCCCACACTTTTTGGAAAATTTGTTTCAAAACAAATATATGATCTGTGGTAGATCTATTTTGTCTAAAACCTGCTTGATAATCTCCTAAAATACCTTCTGCCCACGGCTTAATTCTGTTTAATATACATTTGGATAGCACTTTATACGTAACATTTAATAGAGCGATACCTCTATAATTATCACACAACTGCTTATCTCCCTTTTTGTGTATATGATATATCAGTGCTGTTTGCCATTCCTCCGGAATCACTTATTTTCCCCAAACTTCTTTTATAGCCCGGACATATATTCAAGCAAGCCATTTCCCATACTTTTAAGCAACTCTCCAGGGATGCCATCTTCTCCGGGTGCTCTATGGTTCTTTAAGTTTCTTATTTGTTCTTGAATTTCCTCCATACTCGGTGCTAGGCAGATTGTATTATTAGTTTCCATAATCTCAAAGTGGAATAAACTATCTGGTGTATTATAGTTCAATAGCTGCTTAAAATAGTTCGCCCATTTATTTGCTATCTCTTCTTTAGATGTGATTAGCATTTCATCATCATTTTTGAGAACTTTCACCGGCTGCTTATATTCCTTACTTAAGAAGTTAACCTATTTATATAGGTCTCTTGTATTGTGACTAGCAAAATCCTGTTCTGCTTCCTTAAGTATATTTTGTAAATATTTTCTTTTTTCGCATCTTAATATGTTACTCGCTTCCCGTTGTCTCATTTTGAATCCTTCTAACTTCATCACATTCTCAGTGTCGGACAGCCATATATTTCTAGCATTCCTTCTTCTTTGTATGGCTTCTTCGCAAATATCATTAAACCAGGTTTTTTTCTTTGTCTTTTGTTTCCCTATTGTTTTTTCTGCTTCATCTTGAATAAGTTATTTTACCGTTTTCCACCTTTGTTCCACTTCTCTGCCTGACCCACTTGCAATTATCATTCTTAACTTTTTCTCTATACCTTTTTGAAAATTTTCAACTACCGCTGGATTGTTAAGGTTCGTGATGTCAAACGGTCCCGTAGTTCCTCCTCTCTTTATTTCTCGTCTTCTTTTTAACTTCACTCGTAATCTACCTGCCACAAGAAAGTGATCTAAATCGCTATCAGCTCCATGTACGGTTTTTACATCTAAAATACTGTTATTAAATCTTTCATTTATAAGCACATGGTCTATTTGGTTTATCTGTCGTCCATCTGGTGACCTCCACGTACCTTTGTGTATCTTCTTATGTGCGAACATGGTACTTTTAACCCTTAAATTTCTTCCCGTTGCCAAGTTTATAAGTCTGCACCCATTATCATTCGATAACTGGTGTAGACTATGCCCTCCTATTATTGGCTTAAAACATTCTTCACGTCCGATTTTTGCGTTAAAATCTCCTAATATGATTTGTACACAGTCTCTTGGTATCTCACACAGTATACTGTCTAACAACGAGTAGAAATCATCTTTTTTATTTTCATCCTTGTCCTCTGAAGGAGCATGTCCATTTACGAAGACTACTTCAAACCATTTTGTATCCAGTGTCAACATCGTTAATCTAGGGTTTATAACTTTAAAACTTTTTACCGCTGCTAGTAGCTTGTTGTTAACCGCGAATCCACTTCCAGCTTGTCTTCTTCCGTCACAAGCACCAAAAAAATAACGTTGTATTACTTATTTGTATTGAGCCCGTATCTTGCCACCTCATTTCCTGTAGTGCCACTACTCCTAACTTGTATCTTTCTATCTCTCTAACTATTGTTCCTACTGCTCCAGGTTTAAAAAAAAGTGCGTACATTCCAGGTTCCAAAACGTAATGCCGATTTCCAGTTTTCCAGTCTAAAGTCCTTTGATCCACAATTCCTAGGCAAATTTATATTTGATTCCTGAACAAGGAATTTTTACAGGATAGGTTGTTAGCCTATCGCCAACTCCATTATACCCATGGAGAGGGTAGCTCATGGCCCCAGGTTCGCTAAACCTGTAGTACTAAATGCTTAGTAGCCCCTTAAGGGGAATTTTGTTCTTCTATCATAAATTTATTGTAATAAGAAATTATAAAATATCCTGACAACATATTAATCTTAACAATATCATTTTTTTTAAATTCTCATAAAATTTTCTATTTAATGATGTCGATATTAAACTTCTTAGTTAAGCTAAAAAAAGTAATGGTAATAATTCAACCTTTTTTTTATTATAAACTTTCATAAAAATCAACTAATTAAATTATACTTTCGATTACATTTATAAATCAAAGAACTATTTATTAGGATATAATTAAGGAAATAGAACTTGATACTGATTTGGGAATAATCCACCAATTGCTTAAAATTCAACATTATCTGCAGATATGCATCTAAGCGTTTCAAATAATAGTGATTTTAATCACTGTCATATATCATCTATACTTATCCCAACTATGTATTGTTCACACTTTACCGCCACCCCACTGTGCTAATGTTTCAGCTTGATGCGAAGCTGAGAAGGTATTAATTTTACCATGATGTGTTTTTTTTTTTTTTTTTTAATGTCTGTTGCCACTTTTTCTCAGCTCTCACTGGACCGATTTCTTTCAACAATACGTCAAACAATATCACAAATCGTATCTAGTTGAAGACATTACCCTTAAAAATTAAAAAATTTTCCCTCGTTCCCCGCAAAGGGGAGAAATATCCAAAAAAATTACAAATTTAAAAGTCAGTAAATTTTGTCATTTTTTTCACTTTCTTTTCTTAAAACTTCCATAACTTTTTGAAAAATAAACAAATCAACATAATTTTTTTTTATACTAAAACCTTTGATATTTCCTTTTCATTTGATATCATTTTTTTGAAAATTTAACACTTAACCTGCTCACTGCGGGGGATTTAAAATTGCAACTTTTTTACAAAAACTAACTTCTTCAACTTAATTTTTGAAAATGTTCCGGAAATACTGCGTCCTTTAAACATATATCAAATTAAAGTTTATTTTATGTACTATAAAATGAAAAAAAAAAATTTGTCCGACACTTTATCTTCTGCATGTAAACGGCTGCCGTAATTAAAAAAACGCTTTTTTGTGTGTTAAAATTTTCGATTTTAAATTTTCAACTTAAAAATGCCATAACTTTTCGAAAAATGTATGTATCAGTACAAGTTTTTTTTTCTAAATACATTATAAGTACATCTTTCATTTGACATACTTTTTATTAAAATTGGACAATTTCCCCTGATATAGGTGTCGTACAAAACTTGAAACATTGTATAAAACATAGAACTTATTCAACTGAACTTTTGAAAATGTTCCGGAAATACTGCGTCCTTTAAACATATATATAAATGGAAGCTTATTTTATGTACTATAAAATAAAAAATAAAAAAAATTGTCCCTACACCTTATCTACTATGTGCAAATTGCTGTCGAAATTAAAAAAAAAATGTAATATTTGCGATAAAAATCACCTTCTATAAGGATGTTTTTTGTACTTAAAACTGTCATCATTTTTTCAAATATTAACAAATCAAAATAATATTTTTTTATATTGAAACCTTAGATATTTCCCTTTCATCAATCAAATGATTGATTAACGTAATTGCCAAAAATGTATTAATGATAGACTAGAACGAAATCTAACAAATAGACGGAAGGAGATTTTAATGACAGCATTAGTTTTGAATGCTTCGCTAAGTTAACGAAGAAGAAGAAATATTTGTAACGAGCGTACAAATTACAAACGATTAAAATTAAACATAATTAATGTATTGAAATACTTACATGTCCACCCATCGATAAACCAGTAACTCCAAGAGGTCCAAAACCTTCTCGTTCACACCAATGAAATAACACGAGAGATTCCAATATAAGACAAGCACCCATCACAAAAATATCAGAAACATTACATAATATAGATCTTCTGCAATTAAAATAAAATTAAAAATAAATGAAAACAATCATTCCAAAAAAAAAAAGAAATGCTTTTATCTATACATGTCACGAAAATATATAAACGGCGTTATCATTTTTCTACATAGGCAAAGTAATATAGAAATTGTTTTTAATTAATTTTTTACCGACATATAATTATAAAAAAGTACATTTAATATTCTACATTTTTAGATGCTATTCATCAATTAAGTAACTGGTGTATTAAGTAAAATGATCCCTAGGCCCACAGTTTCGGCTATAATTCAATAAAAATTTAGTTAAACAAGGTAGGATAGGTATAGAAAAATTATTTTATGTTTCAAAATGTGAAACAAATTAAATAAACTTAAATTTTTTTTTAATGGAATAAAATTTAACTGAGTGTTGCTTTCTTGCACTATAACTAGATCATCGTTAGGTTAGTTAATATCGGTACTGAAATTCTTCCAAATAAGCTTCCAATATTGAAATTCAATGGATATTTCATAATCGCTGTTGATCTTTCTATATTATGTATTGATATGTTGTTTCAAGATTCAATGCGATGCTGACAAGGTATTAATTTTACTATGATGTGTTTATTTTAAGATTTTGTATTTAATAATATACTAACATAAATATAGATAGTCCTAACTTTTACATTCGTAGATTGTTATTATTATTATTATTATTAATAAATGTAAATGATATAATTGTTACGATTTTTTCGATTTTGAAAAAATGTCACTAGGCACAAAATAAATAAATAAATATAAAAATAAATAACTTACACTTGATTAATTGGCTTTCTTTTTCCATAAAAAGGATTTTCTAAAATGATTGATCCTATTCCAGCTTCTTTTAAAAGTGGTTTCGCTAAAATAGTTCTTCTTCGCCAATAATTCTAATACGAGAAAATGATTAATATTATAAGTTTTAAATTAAATTTATATATAATATATAAGGATGGATACTGTCATCTACGAGGGCATTTTGTGTAATTTAGTATGAAATTGATATTCAATAATTTCATATTGTAATTTTTACGGAGAAATTAAAAATAATAATAATATAGTAGTAGATTTCGTTATTTTTAAGGCAAACGTATGTAAAAATTGAAGAGTTTGATGTAAAACTTGAAGAAAGAACGTTTTGTTAGATATGAATAAATACACAAGTGTACAAAGAACTTTTAATAAACCAAATTAAATTTCCCTAAACCCATTTTTGCACTGGTTTCAAATTTTCAATAAGATTTTTTTGAGATTATTACTAATTAGTAAAAAACGAGTATTTACACAAAAAAAAATATATATATATAAATTAAAAATAAAGAAAAAAATTTTTTCTTCAAATTATTATTGATTTTAATTTTTAATATGTTAAAATTAATCTGTACAAAATTTCTTTTCAAATTGTCATGTTTGTCATGTTGGGGAGTTGATGTTGTTGTTGTCGTTGTTGCTCATGCTGTCACGCAGGCTTTTAAATGTCATCCAGTTTTTAGTCGGAAACCGGACGTCATTTGTGACGTCGACGAACCTGCGCGCACCCAAAGCAAAACAAACGTCGTATCGTAAAGTGTAAAAACAAAAAAAAAAGAAATATCATATAAAATACAGTCCACATCAAAGATAAAAAAATTGCGTTAATATTTTGTGAGCTACTGACCATTTGGTTCATTCGGACGTGGATGCATTTGGACTATTGATCGCGGATGCAATTGATCCATTTATTCATAATTCGTATATAATAGAGACCGTGTGGCCAGGGGAGAAACTGTGCCGTGGCGCGGAAGGTCCAAAATTAGTGAAAATCGTTAAGTGTGATTTTTTAGTAATCTCAATAATGAAATCCGTAGTTATACATCGTTCTATTAACTTCGTAATTACACATCGTCGTGTATAAATTCGTAGTCATCGTAAGAAAAGAAAATACAATTGAAGAGAGCGTCGCATTACCGTTCAGGAAATAAGACTCAAAAGTGATACAATCTAAGTCGGTAACTTATTTCCTTTTTATTCCTTATTTAAAAAAGAAAAAATATCTAACTAGAGAAGATTATTTTTAATTTACCTATTTTTATGTAATAGTATGAATAATAAAATTAGCGTAGCTTTGGGTTTGCGCAAGAAAGCAAGGTATACATATATAAGAAAGAATAGTATTTAGTAATATGTAGTAATTGTATCATTGTGGAATCAAGATAAGAGCGAACAAGTTTATTGTAAATATAATACGAGATAGGTGTAGAGTAGTAATAACAGCTGTAAAATTGTGAGAGATAATATGGAGGATTTTAAAAATCTAATACAGTAGAAGTCCGATAATCCGGCATCCAACAGTAGAACAAATTTTTTTGTATTTGCATACTGTATTTTTAGTTTAATTATTAACGTAATTGTTCTTATAGCAAAGCCTACACTAAAAGGAAAGCGCACCGCCCAATAGACCGGCACGGAGCCGGTCCCGAACCCGTGCCGGATTATCGGAATTCTACTGTAATGCGAAACAGGGAACTGAAATCGTCGCTGACGAGATTTGAGAAGTTCATAAGAGAGCTAAATGAAAGCGACGAGATAAATCAACTAAAATTAAGGAGGCGAAAGATAGAAGAAATATGGAGCGAGTTTGATCAAGTTCAAAGTGCCATTAAAATAGAATCAGAAGAAAAAAGTCAAGCGACTTATCGAAAAGATTTTGAAGACGCATTTTATAGAAGTGTTGCTGCAGCTGATAGTTTTATTCAAAATAAAGAAACGCCTAGTGTAAATAATAGAGTCCCACAAGTTATAGAGGCGGAACATAACATATCGTTATCTAGATTGCCTATACATTTGCCACAAGTAACGTTACCAAATTTTCCCGGTGATTATTATGAATGGTCAACATTATATGATTTATTTAATAATTTAATTCATACAACTACTAGTAGTTTGATGCCGATTCAAAAGTTTTTTTATTTACGCGGTTCGTTGCTTTAAATTCGATTAAATATCTAAGTATGTCAGCTGAAAATTACACTGTGGCTTGAAAAACTTTAACAGAGCAGTTTAATAGTACAAAGGTTATCGTACAAAGTCATGTGAAAGCGATTTGCGATATGGAGACCTTGAGTAATGAATCTGCTGTAAAACAAAGGCAATTTATAGATAAATTAAGTAATCATATCCAATCTTTGAGTACACTCGGGTATGAGTCGAATAATTGGGGTCCGTTAATGTTTCATATTGTTATGATAAAATTAGATAAAATGACTTTACGCGCTTGGGAAACGTCTGCTTGTTAAACAAAAGTAGCAGAGCTAAATGAATTATTAGAATTTTTAGAAAGACGTTTTAAAATATTAGAATTGATGAAAACATCAAAAACGATCACTACGCGTGTTCTAGGAGTAAATGATCTAAGCAGTAAGCATCAAAATATAAAGGAAGAATTATTTACTAAATCATTTGCAGTAGCTGATAAAACATTGGAATGTTTTGTATATAAAAGTCCGCATACAATTTATCTTTGTCCAACCTTTTTAGCGTTAATGATTCAAGAGCGTATAAATAAAGTAAATGATTTAAAACTTGGTCGAATTTGTTTACAGCAGTATGCGGGTAAAAAATGTTTATCGAAATATTGTTTGCGATGCTAAAAAACCGCATAATTCTTTGTTACATTTCGTTCAGCGTACGCCAACTGTAATAGCTGATCCGAACGTAAACAATAGCACACTAATATCCGAATCGATAGAACCGGTAGAAACAAAGAGCTCGCACAACGCAATCATCTCTACCTTTGAACAAGTCATTTTATCAAACGCGGTAGTATCAATTCAAGACAATAACAATATTCTTTTATTAGATTCTGGTTCACAAAATAATTTTATTTCCGAATCATTAGTACAGAAATTAAAATTGAAAAGAGGAAAATAACTCAATAGTAATCGGCATAGGCGAAACTGTAAAAAATATATCCGCGTCGGCTGAAATACAGTTTGAGTCGCGTTTAAATAATTTTTGTTTAAATATAAGGTATTTAGTGGTACCCAAAGTGACTGGTAGTTTACCTACACGAAGAATAAGTGGAAATGTGCAGGTGTCATGTCATATCGTATTAGCAGATCCATAGTTCAGAAATCCCCAAAAGGTTGACGTATTATTAAGGGTGGCACAATTTTATGAAGTTCTCGAAACTGATCGGTTAAAATTATTTGAGGGAAAAAATTTGGCTGGGTGATTTCAAGGCCCATTCCGAAAACGATTTACAATAACCTTAAGACAAATAGTAAGAGTTGTCACGTGAGTGAAAAATGTGATAAGTGTAGTAATCGACTAGAAGGATTGATAACACAATTTTGGAAATTAGAAACGATTAAAAAGGAATACCCTTATAATGTTGAAGAAAAGAAATGTAAAGAAATATTTGAACGCACCGGGACTCAGACACGACCTGTCGATTTGTCGTACATTTTCGAAATCGGACTAATAATCTCGGGCAATATTTCCATATTGCAAAAAGGCGTTGGTTATCGATGGAAAGAAATTAAGTCATGACACGGTGTTAAAAAGGGAATTCGTAAAATTTCTTAAAAATATGAAGGAGGTAGGTATAGTAGATGAAGAAGATCAGAGCGCGGATTGTTATTTACCACATCATGCTGTACACAATTATAATAGTATTACTACAAAGGTACGTACAGTTTTTGATGCCTCGCGTAAGACGCAATCGGACTTGAGTTTAAATGACGCGTTATTAAATGGTCCAGTTCTGCAAGAAGAATTGATAGTGATACTGACTAGATTTCGTACACACAGGTACATCATTATTGCCGATATAGTTAAAATGTACAGACAGATAATGGTTACTAAAAATGACAGGAAATATCAACAGATTTTGTAGCGAAGTGAACCTTATCAACCACTAAAAATATATGAATTAGCAACGGTAACTTACAGGACTAGGCCGGCTTCATTTTTAGCAATGGCGTGTTTGCAAAAATTAGCTATAGACGAGTGCAAAAATTTTCCAGTAGCATGTAAGGTGTTAGCCAGAGACTTTTATATGGATGATTGATTAACGGGATTTATTAATCAGAGAAAACATACGACGCGTGCTTATATTTACGTTGTACAGATAACACAGGTAAAATCAATTCACATCTCATTTGCGCATAATCGAAAGTCGCACCTCTAAAAATAATTTCATTACCTCGAAAAGAATTATGCGCTGCTTTGCTACTTGCCAAATTAGCAAAACGTATTATACCTAAATAATGTTTAGATATTAAACAAACATTTTTGTGGTCCGACTCATATGTTGTTTTAGCTTGGGTTAGTCATCATCTAGTAAATGGAAGACGTTTGTAATGAATAGAATTGGTGAAATACATGATTTAAGTAATGTAAACCAATGATCTCACGTTAGAACAGAGCACAATACTGCTGATATAATTTCCAGTGGCAGTAGAGCGCTAAAACTAAAAAACAATAAATTATGGTGGTATGGTCCTGAGTGAAAAACAAAGCGAATGGGCATTAAATCATGATAAGTTTAGTGACGACAATAGAAGTCTAGTCGAGTGCGAGACGAAAACAGTTAAGTTAGTTAGTTAGTTAGGTAGTAAGTTAGTTGTTAATTGTAGTGGAACATAGGGCTCCACAAGGGGGGGAGTCAGTGAGTACTAGGGTCCCGGGGAAAAAACAAATTATATACGTTTTTTTCATTTAAATTAGAAAAATATAATAAGTCATGACGACCCAGTCAATATATTTTTATATAATATTAGTATATTAATAATTTTTATTTTTTCCTATAATACATAATATTGTTTAACAATCTAAATATATATTATTTTTATTTAATGAGATCGACTACTTGGCGTCGGTAGGATGGTAGGCGGGTAGGGCGTACAGC